AAATATGAATATATTCTATAAAAGGGGAGTGTTCTTAGAACATTGAATTTGGTATCAAACAGATCTACTTAAATAGGTAAGTAAGTAAATAGATACTCTGACCTTGAGTAAATTTGTGTATGTCTGAACGTGTTTCCTTGATATAAATCTTTGGTGTAATATCATGACTCCTGTATGGAGTTTCTGGCCTGATTGTAGTAGAAAATAAATGAAAAGGAAGAAAGAGTATCGAACAAAAACAGAAAATAAAAATAAAAAATTTTAAAAATATGAAATAGCACCAGATAAAACCTTAAAACCTAGTGTTAGTAGGCTGATTTAATAACATATGACATACCATATAACATAATAATATATAGCTGATATTGGAACAAATAAGGTATTTCTATAGAGGACATAAGGAAAAGTTGCCAAAGATATAGTAACCATCAGTTAGGAATTTTTTGTTGTTGTTCCACAGAAATCAACTAGCTAATTCAGCCCTTTAGGGGACATTTGTTAATGTGTAGAGAGATTTTTGGTTGTAACATAGGGAAATTTTACTGGGATCTGATGGGACCAAGGATGCTGCTAAATGTACTGCAATTCACAATTTACCCGAGATTTACTATCTTGGGTTTGTGAGTTCAAGCCCCATGTGGGGTGTAGGGTTTATTTAAAAAAATAAAATATTTTTTCTTTTAAATGTTTTATTTATTTCTGAGAGAGAGACAGTGAGAGCAGGGGAGGGCCAGAGAGAGAGGGAGACAGAATCTGAAACAGGCTCCAGGTCTGAGCTAGCTGCCAGCACAGAGCCCGACACGGGCTTGAACCCACAAACTGTGATGAGATCATGACCTGAGCCAAAGTTGGACACCCAACCAACTGAGCCACCCAGGCACCCCAAAAATAAAATCTTAAAAAAAAAAAAAGTGGTGCTGAGACTGAGAAATGCTGAATTAACTTAACTGAAGGGGAATTCATTGAAAAGATAGGAGTTACTTACAGGATGGGAGGTAAGGCAGAACCAGGCTAGGAACAGTGAAGTAGGAGCTACCCTAGAGGATATTGGTAGCAGGAACATTCCATGCTTATAAATGGGTACAGCACTGGAATGAATAAACTACAACTGTTTTTATTCTGCTCACTGTTCAAAATCTGAGGGAGCATCTAATCAATCTTCCTTGCTGTTTGGGTAACGGCAGGTAGTATACCGTAAATGAATGAAAGCAATTCCTCAAAGGAAGTACATTCATTAGCAAATACTTACTGACCAAATGTTTATGTTTCAGGTTTTATTTAGGTGCTGGGGATAGAGTAGAGCAAAAGAAATGAAAAGACCCTTGTGGAGTTTATATTATTAAGAGGCTAAATCAGGGCAAATCTTTAAGTTATAAAAAAGGTGGATTAGTTGTCAAACATCAAAACCAATAAATACTACCTATAGATTAAGAAAAAAGCAGGTATTACAATACTATTATCCCATTTACTTTTTTTTTTTAAACTTGGAATATATATGTAAGGAGATTTCTAGAAGGATGTATAGGAAATTTTTTTTTTTAAATATTACCTCTGAATAGTGAGACTGAATATGGGGAGAAGAGCCTACTTTGCATTTTATTACCTCATAATGTTTTCGTTTTCACCACGAACATGTATGGTATAGTTAAAAATTTATTTAATTAAATTAAAAAATAAGAAATTGTTGGTGCGAGTGAAGGATGATTAAAAGCTTTTAAAAAAATCACAATATTGTGGTGCTCTGCTTATTATGGAAAAGCAGAAAGGAAGAAAGAACATCTGACTTGAAAGTGTGGCCTGTAATCATTTAACAAATATTTATTGTACACCTTGCTGCCTTAAATCTTGGAAAAGGTGGAGTATAAATATCAAACATCAACCATGTGTGAGGCACTCTGTGAGGTGCTATATCTGGTACAGGATTGAAACTGAAAAAGATCTGACAGCTGCCCTCACTGGTGCTTGTTGACATCTACTTAGTGATCACCAAATATGTGGCGTGTGCTCGACCTTTTTACACACATCATTTCAAATCCTAACAACAATCTTACCAGATAGGTATCTATGTCTCCCATTTCACAGATGAGAACATTGAAAATTGGGAAGATGAAGTCATAGCAAATAATGGCATAGCTGACACTTGAATCCCAACATATCTGACTTTACTGGAGAACAGTGTGTGAGAATGTGAATAGTTAAATAACAAGTAAAAAAGAAAGTAAAAAAGAGCAATCACAGGACTACCCTTGATGAATTTTACAGATAAGTATTCCAGGAACTGAGGGAAGGAAAAAGAAGTTGCTCATATTTGGAGTGGTCTGGGCAGGTTTCCTAGTTGGAGGAATGGTTTGAATTGGGTCTTGAAGGAGTTATATAGATATGTGAAGAGAAAGGCAGAATGTCAGCTTTTATGGAATGCCTGCTTGGGGCTAGAAACATCTCACCTAAGCTCCATAGCCCCATTTGAGAGGTGAGGAAACAGAGGCCTCTCTTTACCTCCACCCCCTGCCAGCGACAGCAATTAATAGGCATTAATTTTTGGCAATCTGATAGGTGCAAAGTGAAATTTGTTGTTATAGTCAAACAGTTACCTCTATTTTATAACTTCTGGATTTTAAGTCTTGGGTAAGATGAGTTAATGGTAGAAGAGAAAGTGTATATAACAAACTAATAGACCAGGATATACCCTTTTGGGAGAATAGATATTCAGCATAAGTAGTTTTCCTCTACTTAGGGAGTTTTAGGCCTTTATGAAGGTGTTCTATCTAATTTGAGTCTCTACAGATGAAATCTCAACTTGATAAGTCTTAAGAGGGACATCCATTCAATCATTTATTCAATATTTCTTGAGCTCCAACTATGTACCAGACACTGTAGGAGATTTTGGGGATACAAAGATATGAATAATAAACTGTTACACTGTTCTTCTTCTTCTTCTTCTTCTTCTTCTTCTTCTTCTTCTTCTTCTTCTTCTTCTTCTTTTTTGTTTTTTGAGAGAGAGAACAAGGTGGGGGGCAGTGGTGTAGAGAATAGGAGGCAGAGAATCCCAAGCAGGCTGTGCGCTCAGAGTAAAAGCCCAAGGCAGGGCTTGAACCCACGAACCTAACCCTGAGATCATGACCTAAGCTGAAATCAGGAGGTGGATACTCAACCAATAGAGCCACCAAGGCGCCCCATTACACTGTTCTTGTCATCAGGTTGCTTACAATTTAATGGAAGAGACGTCATATATACAATGTGTGGAAATGTGAACCAGTATTTTTGTACATATTCTGAGAAACCTAGAGTCCTCCCTGGTTCAATTTTCTCCTTTATCTTATCCTCCTACCCTTCAGTCAGTTACAGAGTATGGTCCATTTATCTCTTAAATATTTCTCAAATACATTTCTTCCTGACTTCACTTCAGTCCAGTTGACTGTCATCTCTTACCCTGGACTATTTAACAGCCTCAAATTGGTCTTCCCACATTCACTTTCACCATCCCCCCAACTGATTTGACAATTGGCCTTCTAGTCTGCTTTTTCTTCCTTTGACTCTCCAGTAGAATGACTTTTTAAGAAGTGTAGAACTTAAAAAAAAAAAAGTAGAACTGATCATGTTATCTGCTTAAAACTTTTCTGTGGGTTGTTTAAATCCTGGTGAGAAGGAACCAATGGAAAACATATATTTAAATTTAGCAATTTTGGAGAAAAGGGGAATAATCTATATATTGTACCTTCTAGAATCTAAGCTTCATGAGGGCAGGGACAGGGACCCTACCTGTTTTGTTCAATATATTTTTAAAATTTTAAAAAATGTTTATTTATGTTTGAAGGAGAGAGACAGAGCGTGAGCAGGGGAGGGGCAGAGAAGGAGACACAGAATGTGAAGCAGATTCCAGGCTCTGAGCTGTCAACACAGAGCCAGATGTGGGGCTTGAACTCATGAGCTGTGAAATCATGACCCGAGCCAAAGTCAGAAGCTTAACTGACTGAGCCACCCAGGAGGCTCTATTTTGTTCAATATTATATCCTCAGTCTGACACAGAGCCTGGCCAATGGCATGTGTTCAGTAGATATTTATTCAATTCAAGAAAAGAAAGACACTTCTAAGGCTAGAATGAACCCTGTAATGTTTGATTGGAATTGGAGGTATCAATACAAACTCATGATTTTATAGATATAAATAGATATAATAGGGGTAAGCATGCATACACTTTCTAGCTCTATCTGCTGAGAGAGCCTGAAGCAAAAAACACTTCAGAACCAGTGAATATACCTAGTGGTATCTCCAATAAAGGGAACCTGAGCTCTTTAGAGAAATTAGCTCTTTGCTAATTCTAGACTGGGGCAGGAAAAGTACATGAACCTGGAAAATCTGCGGTGACAGAAAGTAGGGATGTGCTCAAAAAAAGATGGGAGCATATCAAAAAGACCTAGGAATCAACTTGAAGGGATTCCAGTGGAACAGGGGACATTTTGAGTAACAAAATAATAATAGTAATGAATCATAACTCATGGAATAAAATATGAATCTATGAGTCATTACTGATAAAAATAAATGACTATATCAGGGGAGAAGAAAAACTCTTCCTTAGAGTAGCATTCCAGCTAATTTAGAAGAATTGATAAAAAGCACAGATTACCATTTGCAAACACTGTAGAAATAATTGATACAGGCAAGAATCATCAATGGATGCTAAAGTTACTGGGTGAAAGTATGTTGAGAAATAGAATATTCACATAGAAAGTATCTTCCCAAAGATATTTAAGTAAAAAGTGAATAATAGCTTTACAGTGGAGAAATCTAGCAGACCCTACTTTAACCAGGTAATCAAAGTTAACATCACATGGGAGAAATCCACATCATGTTCCTTCTGAAATGATGCACTGAGGACACAATTACCACTTTTGTGGTATTGTTACCAAAAATGTATAACCAGAATTTGATCGTGAGGAAACATTAGATAAACCATAATTGAGGTACATTCTACCTAATAACTGGCTGGTGCTTTTCAACAGTGTCAGGGTCATGAAAGATAAAGACTGAGGAGCTATCCCATATTAAAGGAAGCTAAGGAGACATGACAACTGAAAGCATCGTGTGATCCTGGATTGGATTCTTAGAAGGGATATTATTGGGGCAATTGGTAAAATAAGGTATGTATATTAGGTAATAGTATTGAATCAATGTTACATCCTGATTTTGATAATTTTACTGTAGCTATTGAGGTTGTTAGAATGTGATTTGAAAAGTATAGGGAAATTATATTCTATAACATTTTTGTGATTCTGAAATTATCTCAAAATTAAAATGTAAAAAAAAGCAAAATAAAATCCTATCTCTAATGCCTTCATATGGCCCTTGCTTACTTACCAGTTTCCCAATTGAACCCTAGGCTCTAGAAAACTGGCTACTGGCTTTCTTCCCTAGTTCCTTGAGTAAACTGTGCTGCCTCCTCTTCAGAGCCTAAAAGTAGGAGGAAGCTTGGTATTCTTTTTGCATGGAACATGCTTTGTTTGAACTCTTTAGGACTCAGCTTGCTTACTTAAACAAATTTTTTTTTTTTTTAATTTGAGAGAGAGAGCATGAGCTGGGGAGAGGGGCAGAGGGAGATAGAATCTTTTTTTTCTTATGTCGTCAAAACTTTTTTTTATTACAAATAGTTTATTGTCGAGTTGGTTTCCATATAACACCCAGTGCTCATCCCCACAAGTGCCCTCCTCCATGCCCATATCTCCCCTCCCCCCCACATCCATCAGTCCTCAGTTTGTTTCTCAGCATTCAAGAGTCTCTCATGGTTTGCCTCTCGAGGGAGATAGAATCTTATGCAGACTCCACACTTAGTGAGGAGCCCAAAGTGGGGCTTGATGCAGTGCTCAATCCCATGACCCTGGGATCATGACCTGAGCCAAAGTTAAGAGGTGGATAATCAACTGAGTCAGCTACTCGGTTTCCTTCAGCTTGCTTACTACATTTTGACCCCCTAATCCACATCCTGATATCATATGGTTTCATAACATCTGGTACTTTTTCATAGCATTTTTATCACAACTTCTATGAAATTGTTTATCGTGATACTGACTAAAGCCTACTCACTGGAAATTAATGTTTACAAGAGATGGAGGGATTGTGTCTTCTTGCCCAAAGTTATTTACCTAAAGCCTTACACAGGTTTTCAATGACTATTTGAGGAATTAATACAAGTCATGCAGTGGAACATTCCCCTATCCTCTGTAACAACTTGGATGAAATCGGACAGGAGACATTTTAGGTTTGAGGAGATGGACGTGGGAATTGCCAGAATTGGTGGCAGTGACAGGAAAGAAGAGTCTTATCATAGAAGGAGCCATATGACTCGAAAAAAGAGAAGGAAGAGTAAAAAATGATTCAAGTTTAATCATCCACTGCATGATTAAACAGTTGAATGGCACTTGAGTTACTTTTCTGGCAGTATTTTTTTAAAAGTATATTGCTAAATATTTGAACATGAAGTCTGTTTATTTAAAATTTTTTTTCAATATTTGTTTATTTTTGAGAGAGAGAGAGAGAGAGAGAGATAGTGTGGGGGTGGGACAGAGAGAAAGAGGGAGACGCAGAGTCTGAAACAGGATCGAGGCTCTGAGCTGTCAGCACAGTGCCCGAGGTGGGGCTTGAGCTCACGGACCCTGAGATCCTGACCTGACCCGAAGTCGGATGCTCAACTGCTCAACTGACTGAACCACCCAGGTGCCCCGAAGTCTGTTTATTTTTAATAAAAATGTTGTATGCCCATGGTAAAATACTGTATTACATAATACAACCTAGTATTTTAGTGAAAATACTAATTAGCATGCTAATTAGTATATTTGACATACTAAAGTTTACTAGAGTATTTTAATTAAAATACTATTTACCCATGTTAAATTAATACTATACAGCAGGATAAACATTAAACAGTAAAACTGACTGTATGAGAATACCTGAATGTCCCTCTGTAGTGGACATTGTGATGCTACAACCCAGATCTTCTCTTAATAGCTAACTAAGGTGTTTATCACAAAGCTGATGGGCTCCTGATGGCATGAAGCTTTGTTTTGTTTTGTTCTTACTGGGCATTGCTTTAGGATTCAGGGAACTACCTTACTCTAGGTTATGCTCCTGGGAGCCCACAGCCACTAATAAGATGCAAAGACTTAGCTTTCTTGCTTTATTTGAGGACAAGTCTGAGGGCTGTCTCAGCTCCAGAGCTGATCACAAGATGGACTGAGAACTCAGTTGTAACCACTTTGGGGGTCAGTGTATCTCTCTGACTCTTCCTACCTTACTTATTTCATTGCAGGTGCATTTGTCAGTTGTGTCCTATCCTCAATAAATCATTTACATGCAAAACTTGGTCTCAGAATCTGTCTCCAAGGAACTCAACACATGACCCTATCTGTTCTGCCTACCCCCTAAAGGTTGCCATCACTGGAACCTCTGTGTGTGTGTGTCTGGGTCATTCCCCACAATTTCTAAAAAAAAAAGTCTCGAGAAATATACAAAAAGAGTACCCAAAGCATATGTACAGCTTGATGAATTTTCAAAACTTCGCAATATTTTTTATCAGAGAAAGAACAAGGAAATGATTTTGGATAGTGTGAGAACCACTTGCATTTACAACTTCCTCATGGTAGGAGTTTTGAGAGGGGGGTGTATTGCTAAGGGGAGTTGGAAGTTTCTCTGATTTTAAAAGAACAGTTATCTTTTGGTTGACTGCAGTGCACTCTGAAGTGAGAGGAACTTCTAAGTCTACGTTATAATACATTTAGGTGAAAAGGGGAAAATAATGAATATGAGGAATCAGAGGAGAAATCGTGAATCATTTTACTAGGAGGAGAGTGGAAAAAATGATCTTTCTGAAAATCAAATATCTATAAATCAAAAATGTCAAAATATTGCTAAAAATTTGAGTAAGATTTCCTAGGAATCAAACTTAATACTATTTATAGCTCAGTCTAAGGCCTTTACACTGCTCTCTTGATTTTAAAGTAAAATTTCAAGAATCCATCCATGATTTTGTTCATCGGTGATAAACATAGCTTTCACTGAGAGTGTTAAGTTCACTTTCTGTCTTTACCACCACCACCCTCGTCTTTTCTGGCCTGGATGACACAATTGCTGGCCTCCTAATCAACTATCTCTCTGTTTCCACTCTTACCCCAAATGCAGACCGTTCTCTACAGAGAACTACGGTGGTCTTTTTAAAAGCTTACAGGCACCCGGGTGGCTCAGTTGGTTAAGCTGCTGACTTCAGCTCAGGTCGTGATCTCGAGGTTCATGATTTCGACAGCTCAGAGCCTCGAGCCTGCTTTGGATTCTGTTTCTCTCCCTCGCTGCCCCTCCCCCGCTCATGCTCTTTCTCTCTCAAAAAAAAAAAATATATATATATATACATAAGCTTAAAGCAGGTCATGTTACTCCCTTACTTAAAACTCTCCAGGGGTTTCCCATCACACTTACAAAAAAATTCAAAGTCTTTACTTAGTCTGAAAGACCCTACATGATCTGGCTCCTGCCTACCTTTCAGATCCCATCTTGCACCACTTTCCTCGTTGTTTACTTGCTCTCTAGCTACAGTAGATAGATGTTCCTCTAAAAGGGTCAGAAAACTAAGGCAGGGGCCAAGTTTCGCCAAAGGCCTATATTTATACTGCCAGAGGACTAAGAATTATTTTTACATTTCCAAAGGATTGTAAAACAACTGTAACAACTGGAACAAAAACAATTATATTCAAGGAACCTACGTGATTTGGAAAGCCTAAAATATTGACTATGTGTCTCTTTTACAGAAAAAGTTTGCCAGTCTCTGCTCTAAAGTCTTATACGTCCATCAGGATCTGTCCATTAGCTGTTCCCTTTCCTTCCTACATCACCAGTCTTTGCCTGGATGGGTCTTTTTTAATTCAGGATCAAGCTTAATTCAGGTGTCATGGAGACTTTTAATGACCATTTAACATAAATACCAGATTCTCTCAATCACATCACCTTTTTGTTCTTTATAGCACTTACATTTATCTGATATTTTCTTATTTATTTTTATTTTTCCAACAACCATTCCTTCCCTCCCCTATGTAGGAAGATCTTGTATACTACTTTTGAATGTTCTTGATCTTGTATTTAAGATGGAAGACAGCAATAGTGAATGCTGGGAGCCTACTACATAATAGTAGGCTCAGTAGATGTGTAGAATGGATGAATTTGCAAATTACTTCTGTAAGTGAAAATTAGGGCTTGTGCCTTCTTTTTTTTGTTGTCTCTTTTGTAGGGAGGACCTACAGTGCAAACAGCAACTAAGAGCTACTTTACAAAGGAGAGGCAGGGGCACCTGGCTGGCTAAGTGGGGAGAGCATGGGACTCTTGATCTGGGGTCACGAGTTTGAGCCCCACTCCCCATGTTGGCTGTAGAGATTACTTAAATAAATAAATAAACTTAATAAAATAAAAGGAGAGACAAAACAATGTCTCTCCCCTAAGAGAAGCGATAAACTCTTTTTCCTCCTCTCTTCTCTCCCTGGGAGAGGCGATTGGTGGAAGAGTGGGATGTTTCAAAGGGATGTCTCAAGGACTTCTTATTTAAAAAAAAAAAAAAAGGTGCGTAGGTGGCTCGGTTAAGAATCCAAGCTCTTGATTTCAGCTTAGGTCATGATCTCATGGTTTGTGGGACTGAGCCCCACATTGGGCTTTGTGCTGACAGCACGGAGCCTGCTTGGGATTCTCCTTCTCTCTCAGCCCCTCCCCTGCTCATGTTCTTTCTCTAAATAAATAAAGAAAGAAAGAAGAAAGAAAACTTTTCTTCCTTTCATCTTTTTCTTTTAAGAGAGGAGTTTTTCAGAAACGGAGACAATCGAGATTTTATTCTCTAAGATACTTTCAGGCTTTTGGGTGGAGATGGGTTTAACACTAAAGGAGATGTTTAACACTAAGATGAGCCAGGCCTGGGCTCAAAAGAAAGGCTAAGAACACTTTAAATAGGGCTTGTTTAATTGATCAGGTATGGAGGAGGAAGATAACTCCAGGTGCTGGATTTTTCTGGAGTTTCGTTAAGATTGTCAGATCACATATTTTCAGTTTGGGTTTGGAAAATACACAGTCGCTAAAGGAAGAAGCAATGGGAGGCAGAAGCCTGATTGTAAAGAAG